TATCAAGTAAGAAGAGCGTAATATATCTGTCCTTGCCTATTATACGCAGATCCTTGCAAAAGAAATTTGAAATAAAATATAGAGTATCGTATGAAGCGAACAAAAGAAAGGATACTGAAAACAATATTGCCAACTGAAGAACGGAAATCTTGGCATCATTCCTTCACATTGTTACCGTGACTAATTCATTCTATTCACTTGCCTTTTTCACTGCCTCATTATTCAACTTGTTCCTTTTTCTTCAGTTTCTTTCTTATATTTTTCTTAAGAATTTTATTATCATGACATATATCTATATGTTTCATTCATTTTCATGGCCTCGTTTTTATTTATTTTATTTTCGTAGATTTTCTTTTTCATCCTCTTTGTCTTCCTCACCAAAATATGCGTGTCCTTATTTTAATTTATCCTCTTTCTGATTTCTTTTTCTCATAACGTTATTTTTTCCACTACTCCATTTGTCCTAGGCTCCTTTTTCCCAAGTCACATTCATTTCGATGTAAACCTTTGATTGCAATTCTTTTCAACCTGTCAACTTTATTCTTAAAGTCTTCTCTTTGTCAACCACAAGAATCTACGTATATTTTTAATTTTTAAAAAAGTTTTTCCAACTTATTTTTTAAACTATTTTTTTGATCATCTATTCGGGCATTGCAGTGCTTCTCAAATCTGGATAACATAGCAAAAAATTGGTTAAAAGGTGATTTTTTTTTGGGCGGGGTAACGATGCACCTTGAAATATCTATAAAAATACTCTCGAAGATACTAATGATATATAAAAATAAGTGTGACCCCCACCACCACAAATCCAACTCCTAGGTCTTCGTCGTCGATCCTGAGAAACGCCAGAGTAGAGGATCGCTTGGTACTTTTTGGCTGCTACAGTAGCCGTGAAGGCATGTCAAGAACCTCGAAACGGGAGACTGAAGGGACTCCGGTACCGCCATTACCGCAGGCGTCAAGGCGATCTTTAAAAAGATCTGGGTTTCGACAGCCTGACGCTGTTCCAATGTTGAAGTTCGCCTCTCTAAGCCGTGTGATGAGCAGCAGTGAAACGTGTGGGTATCGGGTACACGAATAGTTGTCCACCCGAAACAACATCACGCCAATGTCCCATCTGGACCCTGCATGATACTCTCTCCACCCGAGAAAGAATCATGTTAGTTTCAAATATCATCGAGGCACCGGATGAACCAAACCCGGTGACGAGTGATGTCGACGAAATAGAAATAATAATCTCTCTCAGAAGAATTCGATTTAACACATTTGTTTGATTGAACTAACTACACAGAGATTAAAATTTTAATTGAAATTATAGTTTTAATCAGATTAATTACAATTATAATTAATTAATAAGATTTAATTATAATTTCAATACTAGATTGTCGGAAAAGTTCATCCCTTTACAGTTGAAATGTCTAGATGCAACCGTAAGTTCTATGCTAACAGTTTCTTCTTTCACATTTGGAAGACGCTTCCAGATTCTTGCTTTCTTGTGAACTTTGATCTTCAAAAAAGTAAATGCAATGCGAATCGCTCCCTTCTGTTTTCCTATTTCTTATTCTCTTTTTTTTCTCCTTAATCATTTCTTTTTCTCATATTCTTTCACACTCAGTAACCCCTCGTGTCTAAGTGGCCTTATTGCCTTAATAGGGCTGAAATGATTAAATGATGTATTAGTATTTAACCTGGGAGAAAAAAAAAACGGATTTAGAGTCATGATAGAAATTCATTTTGAACTGCTGGATTATAAAAATTTTCATATTTTTCTCTCTTACTCTTTTAAGATTAAGAAAATTAGTCAAAATTAATTTAATGTTGAATATCAATTTGTTCTTGTTCTTCTTCTTGTTCTTCTTCTTCTTATTATTATTATTATTATTACTGTTTTATTTCCTTTGATTTTTGGTGCGTACTGATTTTTTTCCGGGTCCTGACCAGAGACCTAAGGTCGGAAGTGGCATCATGACATTTTGCACTGAGCAAGTAAAAAATGAAAATAAAAAATAATAAAAAAACACATATTTTACATGGATAAAGGCCTTCGTACGGTGTGGGCTGAATTTTTTTTTGTCTTTCTTTAAGGCATAGGCCACCAGGAATCCCTTCAATGAGTTTAATGGGATCTTTTCCAACCAATCCGAGGGCTCCAACTACAACAGGAATTGTTGATGTTCTCATGTGCCACATTTTGGGGATTTCGATTTCATTATTATTATTATTATTTTTGTTGTTGTTGTTGTTGCTGTTGGTATTATTATTATTATCATTGTTGTTATTATTATTATTATTATTATTATTATTATTATTATTATTATTATTGTTACTATTATTGCTGCTGTCATTTTTATCCCTATTATTGTTGTTGTTGCTGACATTATTATTATTGGTGTTATTATTGTTATTATTATTATTATTATTATTTCTCTCTCCCTCAATATTGAACACTAAAGCTACTTTAGTATAATAAACAAAGATTCAGACACACACATATATCTTTTATTGCTTCAAATCTTATTGGATACTATGTTATATTGTATCCACTATAATAAAGCTTGAAGTAATAAAAATGTCAGATTAAATATCAATTCTTTAATTTTCTAGAAGTATATATATATATATATATATATATATATATGATTTATTCGAAAATAATAACATAAATATGTTATAAAATCACTACAAAAATAGCCATTTTGTTTCAACACTTTTGATATCTTATCGAGTGATGGTGTTGAATGTAGAATAAAATTTTTTAAAAGGTTCAAATCATTCAAATACGCTTCCATAGGGGAAACGCTGTTAAATAAACTGCAAAGACCAAGCATATGAAAACTTGACAACAAACCTTGGCTATAATAATTAATGCTTTAATGTTAGGGTTAGACTAAAATAGAAATCATCCTAACTAATTAATATTAAATTTTACTTAATTTAAAATTAAAAATTACCATTTTTTTTAATTTAATCTCTATTAAAGTTAAAAAATTTTTTAAATTATTTAAAGAACAATCTTAGGAAAAATACATATGTTTTGTTATTTATTTTGCGTTAATTGAAATGCCAAAAATTCAGTTAGAATAAACGTTAAAATCTAATGTTGTGTTAATGTTGCAAATTTTATATCTGCATTAATTCTATATCCACTCGGTGAGCAATATAGGGAAAAGGGAAATTTTAACGGCTGATTTAAAAAAAAAGAATTGAGCGCTATGACGGCCATTATGGCGTTTATATAGAACGTAATGTGTAAAAAATTCCCTCCCTCTGCCGAGCACCTATAGCATAAAGGTCTCTGAATGATGTCAAATCGGTCGAGTTTCGACACCGACTTGAAGCAGTAGGTTGTCTAGCAACACTGATGTACTGTGATACAGCGAAACAATATGCTGCATATATATATATATATATATATATATATATATGTGTGTGTGTGTGTGTGTGTGTGTGTGTGTGTGTGTGTGTGTGTGTATAAATGTGTGTGCGCATGTGGGTGTATTTGTTTGTGTGTTTTCCGCCACATGACCCTGAGATCTTCATCTCTCTTTTGACAAATATATTTCTAGAAATATTAATGTCGTCATATATTCAATGATTTTCACCGTTCCGTGTATAAATGCGATATTTCATTAAATATATATTTTTGTGTTCTGTTGTACATTTCTTTTCTGAAAATATCAGAAGGATATATATATATATATATATATATATATATATATATATATATATATATATATATATACTATGGTGTGCTGACTAAATATTTCTCGGACCGAAAGAGAGACGAAATTGGACCTGAGCCCAAAAATAGTATCTCTCTCTCTCTCTCTCTCTCTCTCTCTCTCTGTGTCTCTATCTATCTATCTATCTATCTATCTATCTATATATATATATATATATATATATATATATATATATACAAATGCTTGCGTGTGTGTATTTGTGTCTATGAATGTGTGCATGCGTGTGGAGTTACATATCTACATAGGATATATTTATTTATATGCTGTATTTTTTTTTACCAACGTCTATGCTATATATTTTCCATTAAGATATGAATTTAAATATTTTAGCACGTGTATAAATATATTAGTCATTTTTATCGTTAATATCTTTTACCTGCTTTCTTGAATGTTCCTCTTCCATTTTCTCTCCTATTTTCTTTCTTGTCTTAAGTCATCATCAGAACGTTGTATCATTAAAATCTTTCATCCAAATATGGCGTCAGATGCAGAATGAGAAAATGAAATAGGAAAGACAGTAGAATGAGTGGTAGGAGGAGGCGGAAGAGGAGGAGGAATGTGGATTAGAGGGAAATACAAAAAGAAAGAAAATGAACGCCGTCGATAAGACAACCAGTGACAGTGAAATGGAATAGAATACAGTTCTTTTTTTTTAAAATTCGATATGAAATAAAAAGAAGGGGAAATAAGAACGAAGATAAGGATAATGAAAGCGGAGGTGGTTAGACAAAGAATAAGAATAAGAAGATAAGCAGAAGTGTAGGAAAAGCTAAGTGAAAAGGAGGGAGAAGTAGTTCTTGATAAGAAAGGCAATTGCTATGGCGTGGCCGGAAGCAAAAATATATTCCAGCTATAACAACATCATCAATTATTAAAACACAACGACCAGTAACAAAATTAAAAGCGCATCAATCAGATAACAGCCACCTTCTGGTTATCTTTTCCGCATTTTCCTTGTAGTTTCTTTTAAATTTAATTTTCTAACAGCGACGTCATTATGGCGCACGTTGAGTTAAGAAGGAAAGCAAAATGAGGAAGACAGGCTGAAAGAAAAGATGTTGAAAAAGAAACAAAAGAAAAACATGATATTTTAAAGGTTAGAATAGGAAAGAAGAAAGGAAGATGTTATTAAGTGGACGAGAGAGAAAGAAATGTTTCGATCCCAAATGAAAAGAACAAAAACAATAAATAAAATATTAGAAAGGAATAAATAAATAAAAAAGAAGGAAATGCTTGAGAAAAGGAAAAATCTTCTTGCTAAAATGGAAACACGGAACGAATAAACGAAATCGCAGAAAGAAATAACGAAAGAAGAAGAAAGAAGAAATGGGGTAGATAGAAAAGAGGAGAAAGAAGTAAAAGAGGAAATGTAAAAAGAAAAGATGACTTGAATATAAAGTAAGAAAACTCCTTAGAATAAAGAAAGGAAGAACGAACGAACGAATAAACGGAAGAAAGAGAGAGAGAGAAGGAAGGAAAGAAGGAAAGAAAGAAAGAAAGAAAGAAAGAAAGAAAGAAGAGACAAATAGGAAAATAAAACTGAAAATAGGAGAGATAAAAATAGAAACATAAATAAGAAGAAAAATAGAAAAGAAGAAAATAATTTTAAACTGAAGCACCAAAAAAAAAAAAAGAAACGTTATAAAAGCAGAAATAAGTTTGATCGGAAAGAAACGAACGATGGAATCTGGGAAGATATGGAGGAAGAAAGAAAGGCAAGGATGGGTAATAAAAGAGACGTTGAAGGAAGCAGACAAGGAAGGAAAGAAGTAAGGAGGACCTGGAAGGAAGTGGAAAAAAAAAGAAGGAAGAAAGAAAGGAAGAAGGACCTGAAAGGAAATGGAAGGAAAGGGGGTGACTCCAGAAGAATTATGATTGGTCTATCAAGAAATTTTCTCAAAAATCAATTCTTATTGATTAAAGATATTTAAAAAATGGCCAAGTAATAATAAAAAAAAAAAATCTCTGAAAATAAATTGAAACGATTCACTTAATTGTCAAACATTTTCGAAAAAAATCACTCGCCCTTTTACTAGAAACGCAAATGTTTTTCCCGCTCGGCATTTTGGGAAAGTCTGTAATATGCTTTAATGACTTGATCGCAAAACTAACATTTTATTACTTTCTCTTCTTTCTTCAAGTTGAAAAGAATTTTAAAAAATGAACATGGAGGTGTGGGGAGGTGAATGTTTGCTTGTAGGTTAATGAGCTACGTGTAGAGTAAAGTGTATGTAAATGTGTACACTTGTCTGTGCTTGTGTTTATATAAATAATGTTTTTATAAGGATCTTTGAATACGTGCATGTCGCTAAGAAAAGCCATCCTGCTAAGTAATTAAGTAAAGATTTCGGTACAGGGAGAAATTTTATTTTCGCGTGAAATATAAAATTTCATTACTTTACTAAAATGCATGCACCCCAAATTATATATATATATATATATATATATATATATATATATATATATATATATATGTATTAGAATTTATTTGAATCCTACTTTGTTGGTCTGATAAATTTTCAACATCGAATATTATTGAGAATTTAATAACGTCTCTATAAAAAGTACGCAGGTGTAGGCTTTAAGAAAGCTTTATTCAACTAATGATACAAGGTTCGCGTATAGTGTCCTTTTATATTCCCAGTAAACAGAAATAATTCTCTCAAAGAGGAGAGTAAGGAAACAAGGGGAGACCACTCTTTATTATTCATAACAGTCTCTATTTTTGTTTTTATTTTTACAAAATTTCGGCCGCGATATCTTTTTTGCCTTCTTCAGACGTCTACTGATCAGAGTAAACTTTACAGAATTTCTAAATCTAGCCTTTAATTTCGTCAGCTGAATTCTTCTTGTTTCACTGTGTAACAGTATTGAAGCTTTCGCGCGTGAATTTTGTGACAGAATAATTTCTGGGAGTAAAGATTCAGTCTCAGTGAAAACATGGCAAATCAATCAGTGAGTATTAAAAAAAAAAAAAAAAAAAAAATAGAAACTAAAAATAAAACAAGGTAAAATCTCCCCAAAAGAAACAGAAAAAATCTACTACTGTAGATCAAATAAAATTTTCATTTGGAAATGTCCTGAAGGTTATCTAGATCGACAGACAACTGAATAAGGCCGGAAAGAATAATAAGGACAAAACATTAAGTTATAAATTCAGAAATACATTCTCATATATATATATATATATATATATATATATATATATATATATATATATATATATATATATATATATATATATATAAGTTTATGAAAAAACTTGGTAATCCGTATGGGTAGTCCCAAGAAGGATGAAATCCTGAGAGCTCAATATAAATCCAGAGCTAATAATTTAAAGAAAAACAGACCACTTTAAGGTTCCATTATAATAATTTATTTCAAAGGGCTCTGGTGAAATGAATTATTATAATGGAACCTAAAGTGGTCTGTTTTTTTTTAATATATATATATATATATATATATATATATATATATATATATAAAGGCAAACTACCTACTTTTTAATTAATGTTATCAACGTTAGAATTTATATATTATTTTCGTTGTCATTCATTTATATATATATATATATATATATATATATATATATATATATATATATATATATATATATATATGGCACTTTGTGTATATGTGTGTAAAATTTCACCTAGTGTATATCTATAAAAAGCGAATATGAATAAAGACAAAAGTAAAACTTATCTTAGCCGACGCATTTCGTCCTCAGTGTGATTTGATCAATGCAAATAAAAGGATTTTATTTTGTAACAAGTATTTATATACAAGAGCAAAATTTTATTGATTTTTAATTTTTTTTAGGAACGCTTCTAAATAGTCATCAGATTAGTTAATCTATGGAGGACACGACTTGACACAATTCAATGTCTAATCAATGAAAGAGAGTATGTGGTGTTTTTCAATTGTTAATAAAATGTAAATTAATATTTAAATTATTTTAGTTTGGGATTAATTTATGTGTTATTATATTATGAATAACATAGCGTTAAATCTTTAACCGTATTATTTTAAAGTTATGCATCTTGGCTTATGAAAATAGTAAGAGCCGAGTTCAAATCGCAGTCAAATCCATTACATTCACTTACGTGCTAATAACATTGGGAAATTTATGATCCTCTTCTATTTCCCCAGCTATGGGTAAATAGCAGGACAGACCGGGTTCTATAGCCTTGGATGACAACTTGTCTACCGCAGAAAGAACCTACTGCGTGAAAAAAATCTGCCTTGTCAGTCATGTATCGAAAGATACATGATCGCCTAAGCGTGTATCATGCATGGTACATAACCAAACAAATTATATATATATATATATATATATATATATATATATATATATATATATATATATATATATATAAATTAATTTATTTTCATTAACGTTATTTTTGGATACTCATATTCGAGTAGAAGCTTTGTTTTTTAAACAGTTTTTATACAACTACATCTACTGCCTTTTATATATATATATATATATATATATATATATATATATATATATATATATATATATATATATATATATAACTGGGGCAGACGACTGATATCTTCGTCTCCGAATGAGGTAATTTTGGATTTTATTCTATATTAATTATATTGCTCTGTATTAATAAACATTGAGCTCTTTTTGTGGATAAGTTTTAATATTTTATATTACTAGGATCCGCTTGCATTATATAACAACGAATTTTTCCATTACTATATATATATATATATATATATATATATATATATATATATATCAAGAAAAAATATATACGGAAAAAACAAACAAAAATCCTTATATACAATTATGCTGTTTTAATGTTAATATGTCAACGTCGGACGTTTCGGTCTAATAAACCATCTTCAGGACATATTCATAAATTATAACATTATCAATCCAACGACGTTGACATATTAACATTAAAACAGCATAATTGTATATAAGGATTTTTGTTTGTTTTTTCCGTATATATTTTTCTTCATACTGTCGGATTTATATCCATATATTTGCTTATATATATATATATATATATATATATATATATATATATATATATATATATATATATATATATATGTGTGTGTGTGTGTGTGTGTGTGTGTGTGTGTGTGTGATAGACTTGCGCCGCTCATCACTGATCATGAATTTGATCCCATCCATCTGTAATATGCTCACCATCTCTGCATAATCAAATTTCTCTCGACTGAAGTTATTTCTTTCTCTGTGAGGAGACTGTCCAGCATTCACTACCATAAAAAATGACTGATAGAACAGAAGACAACTATTTTATAAAATCGTTAGAAATATTTGCAGACACTTATCGGTACAGAATCAACAGACACACACATATGTGTTTATATGTGTGCTTCTCAGTGTGTACGTTTGTCTTTGGGCGGCCATGGACTAACAAAGTTGAATCAGATCTCACTATTTTTGATGTATAGATAGGTTTGGGTCATGTGATGGGTTGAGAAAACACACACACACACACACACACACATATATATATATATATATATATATATATATATATATATATATATTTACAACATCCAATGGTTCGTCTAATTTGAACAAAATGATAAATCTGTACATTTTTCTAACAATCCTGCGTCTATCGTATTTAAATTATTAAAGAAACCTCTTGAAGTCATTGCCAGGTTATATAAAGAATGAATTTCAGCATTTCTTTCTTTACTGAGGAAACACTTTCGTATTTTGAGATTACATTCATACAAGCAAACATACCAGGTGTAATATCAACATTTTCTAAATCGTGTTACAGTATAAATTTGCATCCCACAAAATGTTTAATACCTAAAATTCCTCTAAACTTATTGATTTTCTTTTTTCCAGGATTTCAGGTAAGAGGTTTAGCCATCTTGATACTATTTGTCGTAAGAATCGCTAAAAAATCTTTTGGTTTATTCAGCTAGAAAGTGAACAGGTTAAAATCGTTTTGTGTCAGCCACACTGTCGTCTCAACTGAGCAATTGTGAGAGGAAAGAAATCTTTCAGGCTTTTAGTAATGGTACCAACATTCATGCTTTGGCTTCCATCTTCAAAGTTAATTCAAGAACCATCAAGAGAACGGTGAATAAGTTTTTTAAAAGAAGGAACAGTAGTGATGAAAATGGATCAGGAGATCCCAACATTTCAACTTAGAGGTAAAGAGATCAATTAGAAAAGATCCAACTTCATAAGACGTTTGGCAAGTGAGAGAGGAGTTTCAGTTATGACAGTCCGAACAGCAGTGAAAAAAGACTTGAAAATGAAATCGTACCTGAAAACTTTGTGGCACCTTGTTACTGCAGGACAAAAAGTTAGAAGGTTAGAGAGAGCGACCATTTTTAAATTCTTGTGTTCATATGAGTGTTTACATTTCTTGACATAATGTGTATGAAAACTGTCTAAATATTCTATATATCCGTGCGTTTTCAGCTATTCTATTAATAATTATTAAGGAGGTTTTTTGTTTTTTTAATTGCTTGCGAGGATTTCCATTTTTTAATTAAAAAAAGAAAATGCCCTCTAGCAGTTAAATCCCTAATGTCACTGTCTAATGATCTCTTTAAAAAGATTAACAGAACATGTACTGTGCGGGGCGATGAAAAGATATGCTTTACTAATAGCTACAATAGATAAGAGGTAGTGGAGAGCCATAATCGCCACGTACTAAAGGGGCAAGGTACGAAGGAGAAGAACAGAGAGAAGTATGAGACAACTCCGATAACATACAAGTAAATTTAGCAATAAAGAACCAAGAAAATAAAAAGAGAAATATATATATATATATATATATATATATATATATATATATATTAAACTAAAATAAAGAACCGCATTTTCTATCCACTTTCCTGCTCAGTTTTCAATTTCAAATCGATCTCGCTTTTGTAGTGTGTAGGTGTGTGAAAGTTGCATAAGAAACAATTCTTGTGATCAAATATTTCCCTGGTTTCATTGTTTCGCAACTCGTCAAAACTGTCACCATTGGCAGGTGAGCGGCATCGGATCCATTACAAGAGAGATAATAGCAGAAACAAAAAGAACTCCACCATACCACCAATCTCTCTCTCTCTCTATCTCTCTCTCTCTGAGAAAAAAAAAAAGAAAGTCACAAAATGAAAGCTGATTTGAATGTTATTGAATGAGAGTCGGGTGGGTTAAGAGAGAAGCACTTTGTTGCTGACGTGATTATAGGTCACCATGACAACGGGGCTCGTTCACTTGTGTCGTCTTCGTTATGCAACTCCCCCACCCCCTGACCTCTCGTTTTCACATTCCTTAAAAAAAAAACACACCTGATCATTCTTGCAGAATAAGACCCCCCCACAACTATCAAAATGAGCCGAAGATCAAATTGCGACGTTGAAACAACTTTGATCCCTCAAACTTGATAGCTGTGTTCGATTCTTCATTATAAAAGACTCTCTCTCTCTTTATTTCTCTCCGTTAGTTTATTTCATCTTCTTTGAGAGGATCTCCAATGATGGACGGAAGAATTTGTTGTTTTATTGCAGTTTCTGTCGTATTTTTACCGGGAACGAGGATAAAGTTGCTGTCAACCTCTTGGCTCGTCTTTATTTATAAATCTATCGAGATTCTTCTATTTTAAATTTACCCCAGCGCGTCTGTCTCTAAATACAAACCAAACTCAAAAGTAGACTTCATCATTTTTCGAAGTGAACACTTCATCAAATATTGACGTAAATAATCTATGAGGAGTACACAATTTTATTAAAACTGTAAAACCGAAAATTTTGAAGTATATATATATATTAATCGAGAAGTGCGAGAAAAGAAACTGTTAGCATAGAATTTACGGTTACATCTTGTCAATTGAAATGTAAATTGACGAGCTCTCGACCCCGGTCTAGTATTGCGCTGAAATTTAAAAAGTCTAGGTACCATAGTGAAGAGCTCACCCGAACAATTACCATGAAAGTATTTATAGAAAAGAAACAGAGGCGACTTTGAGGCGGTGGGATAGTGACTGAAACTGAGGCACCAAAAAACACTGTACATTAGGGATTAGAAAAAAAAAATAATCACCGTGAAGTTGCGAATCGAAATAATACTTTTCCCAGCCAATCTTGGACAAAAATATATGCAAGCGAGTAAAAAAAGAGGAGCGAAAAACCCCAGATCATTTAATTGACTTTCGCTAGGGATTGTTTCACCATAATCAGCAAAGCGTAATCAAATTACAATCAGGGAATTTTTGAAGCTATTTATATTAAGTTTAAACAGCCTTTCAACTGTCAGCAGGAAAATGTCTGAATATAAATCTTTCTGTGATTTATACTGCTGACAAATTTTGTTCCCTATTTTTTAGTCGTTTTTTGTCCTTGTGAATCAGTATTAAATTAGCAAAACCAATTTATAACTAGAAATAGATCTGTTGTATATTCATCCTGGGGAATTTATACATTATGACACATTCAGTCTATTTTTCCCAGAGTTTATATTCAATTCTTGGTAAAACAGATTTTTCGGTTCAAAATTACAATCATGCAGGTTTCAGGGCCCCACAATTCATTGAGTATATTGTATAAATTGAAATCTTTCTTATATTTAGATATTCTTTTCTTTAAATACCTGGCTTTTTCCACTGATGTATTTGGTGGATAGTATTTATTAAACTAACAGTAAAACTATGTGAAAAACATAAACGTTTTAAACGAAAAGAATTGAAATATTTTGATGACCGTTGAGCCATGGAACTGATTGTCACCATCCAATGTTAATTCCTATACCAAAATCGGCTGTATGTAGAAAATCCTCTCTCCAATACTTTAGACTCGTCCCTTATAAATATAGCCAATTTTAAACAATATATTCAGGAATTTGTCAAGAATAAAGTAAGGTAAACAAGTTTTATTTAATACCTGGATTTCTGGCTAAAAAAAACTAGTTGAATACAAATATAAATCTTGTGCGCCATAATATTTTAAACTTCAAGTACAATGCACACCTGAATTTCTCAGGATTTTCTTTAGACACCTCGCATGACTTGATGGATGAGATCAGTCTTTATCTTGGAACATGGATAAAATCAGGCCCAACTATCTGAAGAGATCTAACCAGAACCATTTGCATTCGTCTATGCAGTTATAAAGACACTAATACACTGAATCCATGACATTTTCGCAATGCCAATGGACGGACATGTCAGGTTAAGAGTTGGGATTTGATGGCATTTAAGATTAAACCGACATAAGATATATCCACAAATACGTTGCTATTTCTGGAAAGAAAAATCTTCCAACATTAATGGAAATAAAAGACGTGTTTTTCTGTTAAGTCCATGTTTGTGATGTTCGATTTAAATTTAAATTATTCACCAGTTCTTATCCAATGCAATGGATATATAAAAAGTTAAAATTAAAAACTGATCACGTGCACACATACACCCCCCACACACGCATATATATAATAAAAATCATTTTTCGTTTCATTTCATTTTTGGAAGTGCTATCTGATGATCCGGCGTCCTTTAAAAGGGCTCTGATGAAATAAATTATTATAATGGTACTTTAAAGTGGTCTGTTTTTCTTTTAAATATACATACATACATACATACATACATACATACATACATATATATATATATATATATATATATATATATATATATATATATATATATATATGTGTGTGTGTGTATGGTATAAAAAATACTTTTACTAAAAATGTGGGGTTGGTTTCGCACATCAAAACAAGGGCAAATGTTCATATGACCACAAATGCTTCGTTTTTTAATTATTAAATCTAAAAAAAAATTAAGGTAGATTGCCATATAGACTAGGTTACATTTGTCTTCAACGATTAACGTGTGTATTATTGAGATAACTGAAAATTGTTCCGTTTAACAATGGCAGTGAGCAGGTGGATATGATTTTTACATATAGCCGGGCGAATGGTAATGGACGAGAGGCTGCACGGCTGTATGAGATCTCGTTTCCAGAACGAAGGCAGTCGAGTCATTCAACATTTGCTTCTGTGTATCGTTGTGTTGCTGAGACAGGATCCGTGGCACCACAAACTATGGCTCGAGTTAACATGGCAACAAAGCGCCTTCTACCGTAAACATAAAAATATTGAAGATATTTATATTAAAAATTGAAACCAAACCTTCAGAAAATTAATTTTCAATACTGCACAAATGTTTCAAAATTCTTACAGTAGATAATTTAAAATATCTAGTTTTTAACTAATAGATTTCTTTTAAAAAAATATTTAGATATTATATATTGTTATATTTCGTGCTAATAGGAATATATAGTTGACAAATATTATGGATAAAATAAGTAAAGGTATATTGTAAAAACTAATACAATAAGAATAAAGGTAACAGTTATGCACAAAGTCGTCGCTAGTCAATCTAGTAGTGAGTGCTACTATTGAAAGGTCAGTAGTTCTCGGGTAAGTCTCAGTCGTACTCAAGAGATTCCAG